TCATTTTTCTTCATTGAGATAGTTTAATATATAGGATGAGCTACCTTTCTAAAGTGTTTTTGGTTTGGTGTTTTTTGGTCATTTTTGCTTGGATATTTACTTTGTTGGTTTTTCATTTATGCATTAATGATAACATTTTTGGATGTGTAACGTTTATATGGGGGTACATGATTCTATACATGGTGTAAATACTATTTTTTGTAAAAAAAAACAAGGCAAAATTAATGAATAGGAATACTAAATATATTATCATTAAGAATTTTTTGTGCATTAATCTGACCATAATTTCTCTGCAGATTATGATCCTATAACTTGAGTCTGTAATTTTTATTAACTAGATCATTTTTTGGCATAAATGATCATTACAGTTATCCTGATCTGATTTAAAGCCAAATGCATGCATACAAAAGGATCTTTCTGTTAATGGAAGATGGTGCTTTGGGGTGTAAGTTAGAAAAAGACTAATCATCTTATGCTCATTTATGTTATTATGTTTTCTTGGTTCCCTCCCTGAGCTGTGGACTGGTGCCTCCCTGGACTGACAGAGTTTATCTCAGGGAGGCCCTCATTGCATGACTGCCTCCTTTTGGTTACAATTCCCACTCTAAAACCTGATGGTAATTCCTTTCAAATTTATTTTCCAACTAAATGATGTGTCTGACAATTATTATATTATCTTACATTATCCTAGACCTGAGAACTATTGTGTTGTACCTTATTTCAATTGCTTATTAATGATTTGTCAGTTTTTATCCTTGTCTTCATGGTTCCTTCATTGTGTATTTCATAGTGACCAGGGTGATGCTTTAAAATATGTCATTTATATTCACATCCCTTTAAAGGCTTCTCATCCTTAAGAATAAAAGACCAAATTTTTTAAATTTGTTCTGATTAGTTATACGTAAGAGTAGAATGCATTTTGACATATCCTACATAAATGCAGTATAACTTCTTATTCTTCCGATTGTACATGATGTAGAGTTACACCAGTGGTGTAATGATACATGCAACATAGGGTAATAATGTCCAATTAATTCTATTATCCTTCCTCCCCTTCTTTCATTCCCCTCTGTCTAATCTAAAGTATCTCTATTCTTCCCTAGCTGCCTCCCACCACCCCCCTTATTGTGAATTAGCATCCACATAAGAAAAAGCATTTGGCTTTTGGTTTTAGGGGGTGTGGCTTATTTCACTTAGCATAATATTCTCCAGCTCTATTCATATACCAGCAAATGCCATACTTCCATTCTTCTTTAGGCTGATAATATTCCATGTGTATATTTTCTTTATCCATTAATCTATTGAAGGGCATCTAGGCTGGTTTTATAGTTTAGCTATTGTGAATTGAGCTGCTATAAGCATAAAAAGAAGAAATGGGACCAAATAAAGACTGAAATCCAGCTAGATAAATAAGTTCTATAGTTCTATAGTTCACATCCAGCATCAGGGTACCTGGCATTTTGATATTCTCCCCAATGTACTTGTATCGCTCCACCTCTATGGCCTTTGAATGTTACATCACATATGGCCTCTCTTTTGCCTTGTTTCTTCTCAATTCATGCAGTTTTCCTTTGCAGATGTTCCATGGTACTGGCATCTCTTAACCTTGAGAGATCTCCTATGCAGCTTCAACTTTTTTTCACATATTCACACACTTCCATTTCTTCTTTTTATGCCCCTACTTCTCCCTTATGGAATGGAAATATCTATTCTGTGTCATTGTATCTTGGAGATGTATATATATCTTTTGATCTTTATTCTCCCAGTTAAGAGTTTACTTTGAGTCTCAGATACATTGCTGATTTAAACTTTGTGGCAATGCTGGAACCATTGAGACTATGGGGACTCTTGAAAATGGATTAAACATATCTTAACTTGTGATATAGGCATGAACTTGATGGGGCCATAGTAGAATATTGTGTTTCAGATATATGGTTTCCCCAAAAAACTTATGTGTGATGCAATGTAAGAATGCTCAGAGGTAAAATGATTAGATTATAAGGGGTATAGCCTAATCCATGAATTAACCCACTGATATGTATTAACTGGTTGGTAACTGTAGGAAGACAGGGTGTGGCTAGAGGAAGTCAGTCACTGTGGGTATGCCTTTGGGACTTACATTTTGTCCTTGATGAGAAGAGATATCTGTTTCAATCTACATACACACACACACACACACACACACACACACACACACACACACACACTCCTTCCTGGTTAACATGTCTTGAGCTGCTTTCCTCTGCCAACCCTTTCTTCCATATGCTCTGCCTCAGCTCAGGCCCAGAGCTGTCGAGATGCCTGATCATAGACTAAATCTGTGAAATCATGAGCCAAAATAACCTTGTTCTCTAAGTTGTTCTTATTTGTAATTTTGGTCACAGCAACAAAAAGCTGATTTAAAACGTCCAATAATTGTTTGCTGATGATATCATTCTATATTCAGAAGACCCCAAAAATTCCGCCAGATGACTTCTAGAGCTGATAAATGAATTTAGCAAAGTAGCAGGGTACACAATAAACACTCATCAATAGCTTTCCTGTACTCTAACAGTGATTCATCTGAAAAAGAAATCAAGAAAACTACCCTTTTTATAATAACTTCAGAAAAAAGAGAAACATTTGGGAATTAATATAACCACAGAGATGAAAAATCTCTACATTTAAAAATATAGAAAACTTGCCTGGCATGTGTGAGGCACTGGTTTCGATTCTTAGCACCACATATAAATAAATAAATAAAGGTCCATCAAAAAAAATATGTAGAAAACTGAAGAAAGAAATTAAAGACTTCAGAAGATTGAAAGGACTCCCACATTCCTGGATAAACAGAATTAATATCATTAAAATTGCCATACTAACAAAAGATATAAACACATTTAATGCGATCTCCATAAAAATTTCAATGACATCCTTACCGTAACTAGAAAAGAAAAACAGTCCTTAAATGCAGGTGGAAGAATAAGAGACTTAAAATAGCCAAAGCAATTCTGAACAAGAAAAGTGATGTAGGAGGCACCACAGTACATGATCTCAAATTATACTACAGAATTATTTTTTTAAAGAGAGAGAGCGAAAAAATTGTTTAATATTTATTTTTTAGTTTTCAGTGGACACAACATCTTTATTTTATTTTTATGTAGTGCTGAGGATTGAATCCAGCCCCCTGCACATGCCAGGTGAGCACGCTACTGCTTGGGCCACATCCCCAGCCCTATATTACAGAATTCTAATAACAAAAACAGCATGGTATTAGGATCAGATTAATACAACCATTATGGAAAGCATTGTGGTGATTTCTCAAAAAACTAGGAATGGAACCACCATATGAGTCAATTGTCCCATTCCTCGGTATTTATCTGAAAGAACCAAAATCAGCATGGTATAGCTATAGCCACTTAAGTGCTTAATAGCAGCACAGTTCACAATAGTCAAATTATGGAATCAATCTGGAGACCTATCAATAGATGAATGGAACAAGAAAATGTGGCATATATCCACAATGGAGTTTTAGACAGCCATAAAATAAATGAAATAATGGTATTTGCCTATAAATGGATAGAAATGAAAAAAAAAATCATGCTAAGTGAAGTAAGCCAGACCAAGAAATTCAAGAGTGAATGTGGAAGCTAGAGCAAAATAAAGAAAAGAAGGTCATAAGAAAAGGAGATCATTGCAATAGAAGAAAAATGAAGGAGGAAGGAAGGAAGGGAAAGGGAAAGAAAACTGGAATGAATTTACCAAAATCCTGTGGTATACATATATAAATGTACAAAAGGAATTTTGACCTTTAAGCATATGTAGTAAATGCCAATCAAAAATAAATAAATCAGGGAGTGAAAGGAAGATCAGTAGAGGATAGAAAGAAGAATATGGGGAGGGAGGAAGAAGGAAAAGGGGAAGATGGGAATTAAAATCAAACTCTTTACATGTATGATATTTTCAAAATGAATCCAAATACTTTGTATAATTATAATGTTCTAATTTTAAAAAAGCAATAACTTAACAGCTTCCTCCACTATACTGATATAATTTTCATACTAAAATTTTCTGCATCATTTGGACTGAAATCATCTTTAATTCCTCTTATTCTTTCAATAGTAACTTAGTTCCTTATATTTATTAAATTTGCTATTTTTCTTCTTATTTTGTAACTTAGAATATATTTAGTGGATTGATAAAATGCTTGTATCTGTCATCTCTGATCTCCATTAGGTCTTAGAAAACATGACTTACTTACCGTACATGAATTATTAACCTTGAAATATCAAAAATTTATATTTTCATTGGTTCCTTATTCAGTGCCACATTATGACTTTGTTTGGCCCTGGATACGTTTGTTTTTGTGCTCCCATTTCTTCACTTACAAAAATTTTTTTTTTAACAAATGTGTTGGTATATAACATATGTGATCTATTATTGGTTTATTATTAATTACTTGGTTTATTATTAATTACTTTTCTTATTAACATACTCATATTCAAATTTTTCTTTGCTTTTAAAAGAAACAAACATTAAAATATTTTTATTTGGTCCTGGAAGTCTTTTGGGCCTCAGTCACTGTATGCACTGTGTCTAATAAATAAAAGCCTTGACATCCTTGCATACAAAGACAAATGTTATCTTTTAAATATAGTTCTAAAATTTTTACTGTTGGGTAACTAATCACATTTCATATCCCAGTTAAAATTTAATTTTATTCATTACCATATCTTTAATTACCTTAAGTATTTTGGATAAAATTTCTTAAACTGGCTAAACTTTTCCTAAGTGACTATAATCATACAAACTCACACAAAGACAATAATTCATTAGGTAAAAGACCTTGGATTTATCCTTAGTATTTTGTTTCTAAATAAGGAATGCAAATTTAACGTAAGGCATTTATTAGTAAAACTGCAGTAGCCCTACATTTATTGATTCAATTTTTATTTCAATAACAAAAGTTTATTTTATGACTATATTTCTGAAACATTGTTTTTAATCTTTAATATTCATAGGCATACTACAATTGTTCTTGCATTAAAGCGGGATTAATAACTCCAGATGTAGAAGGTGATTTTATTGATGCCAGGCCTGGGAAATGTGACACCAAGTGTCATACATTACCTGTGTTTTTCGCTTTGGTTTTTTCTGCAGTTGTTTTTGCTAGTTTTTCTCATGTGCCACTTACGCTAATCATCTTCCGGTATGTATATAGTATTTGCAATTATCTTTAATATAATACATAAGAAATATGAATTTAGAAATATTTCAGATTATTATAGTAAATTATTTTCTCTGTATTGTATGATAACAGAGGAAAAATTGTTACATTGTCAAAATTTATGTATATGTTTAATTCTTTTAATTGCATAAAATATACAAATGCAACATTTAGTTTAATTTTTACCTAAAATTAAGTGTATACATGTATTGAAATAGTACTCCTTAAATATGTAAACTTTTAGGTTTTTATGCATCGGGTACAAAAAAAAACCTTGAATAAACAACCCAATAGAATTAAACTTAATCTAACCCATGGAAAATTAATAAATCAGAAAATTCTTAATTGTAACACAGTTGTGATTTTAAAGTTAATTTGTTGGTTATAATTATTTATTGACTAATTCTATTTTAGCCAATTAAATTATGAGAAAATATCTGTGTCATCAATAAAGGAACATAACTTTTAAAATTTCCATACATAAATATATTATTCTAAATACAACCAACATTTGTTCTCCATGTTTTCTTCCCATATATATGATACCCATTTAATACTCATTTTTATCCTAATCACAGAATAATTAGGCATTATTTTTTAATTATTGTTTTCAAGAAGTTAACAGGAACCTTTGAGTCATAAAGTACCTGTACAGGTTGACCAGGTAACGAAGTATGGAAAGTAATAGTTTCTATCTGGGATCATTGGGAAATAGCATAGAGAATGACTTGTACTTGGTTCAGAACATAAGTGATTTTTTTTTATAGTGTAAGCACACGATACAAGAACTTCACAGGGAAAATGAGCAGAAAAAGTAGAGGCAAAAATGTATGAAATGTGGCAAGGAGTTTGTTAAGACAGGAATAGCATGATGGGAGACAAAAACGTCTAAGCCATTTAAGGGCTGGTCATGGGAAACCATTTATGTAATCTTATTGTGAATGGTGTTATCCTATGCACATAGCTGGGAGCCACTGAAAATAGTAAACCTCAAGGGTATAAATAATCAAATGTGTGTCTTAGATGTGATACATCAAAGATAGTGTGGAAGATGGAGCTGAGCAGAGAAATGGAGAAAAAGGAATTAGAACTAAAAAGAACAAATAAAAAATGTAAAGAAAGAAAAGTAATTAGAATTTAGTAGTATTGTTTAGAGATAGATTTAGAACATATTTGGGAATTATCTAGTTTGGTTAAAATGATGAGCATGGGTATCAGGGGAGTGAGGGGTGCAGGGTAGAAGCCAGAAGGATTTAGAAGATGTTCTAGATGTTTGATTATGATTTCTCTGATGGGAATCTTCCCAACCCCACTTTGCCTGGCAAGCATTTGCAGGGCTATGTGCTTTAACCTTATGCTGATATTTACCTTTAGGTGTCACTTTTGTTACCAGCACACTTTTGTCCTAACTATAGTACTTTCAGTAGAGGATTTTCACCCATGTGCATGGAAGAGATGTTCATAGTACATTGTAAAACAACAATAAAAACCATTTTTTCAGAACCAAAAAAAATAATAAATAAAATAATGAGTATTATTAATTTGATGTGCCGAGTATGGAATATACAGAAATAGATGATCATATTTAGACTTCAAGTTTAGAGAACTGAATGAATGATTACTCCATTAATTAAGATTGTAAAGACAAGGAGAATAGAAAACTCAGATTGAAGGTGATTATTGCAGTGTTGAATATGCCTTATTTAAATGAAATATCCAAGCAATTGTTCTCAGCAGTAAGATGAAAGAAATAATCATAATATTCCATAGGCTCAGTTCTGAATCTTCTCACTTCCCTTGAAAATCAGGCAGCACAATAAGGAAAATAACACATAAACACACACTATAATTCCAATACAGCTATGAGATAAACAAAAAAATAGTAAAGTTGAAATTATGTTTAAGTGTTGCTGAAGTTGAAGTGGGACTGAAAGTCAGCTTGTGGATTCACAAAAATTTTTATGAAGAATAGGAAATGGGGAGAGGACCTCAGAATTGACAGATCTCAGATTTGTCTGGTACATAATTCTGCTCAGAAAGAGAGGGACACACATTGAGATGGATGTTCAGGAATCAGAGTCAGACCTAGGTAGATAAGTAAAGGTAGAGTCTCTCTGGGTCAACAATAAGAGGGAATCTTGAAGAGTTCCCAGGAGGTCCAGACCTGGCAAGCAAAAAGTGCCAGCAATATAAACTGAATGAATGCATAATTTTGAAAAGCAAAAAAGTGTAATGAGAGCTCAGAAACATAGGATTGGCAGTAGAAGTTCTTTTGAAGTAGGACAGATTTGAAGAGGCAGAGGATTTGTTGCTATACTAGTCATAATAGTCCTTATTTGGAAATAATACTAACTCTACAATTAATGAATAAATTTTGGCATCTTCATACAATCGATTACTACAGAGTTGTGCTGAACAGTATGGTGATTATTAACCATTTATGCTCTGTAAGTTAAATTCTATCTTCATATGTGTTTAATTCAGTATTAAATTGACCTGTTGAGTAATTAAGTCCTTAATTCTAGTTATGGTATTTTCATTATGGAATTTCACTTCTTGCTTTTTAACTGAATTTAATTCTCTGATAAAAATTCTCTATCTTGTCATGTAATTTTTGAATATATTAAGCCCAGAAATTTAAGATATACATGCCAGATATATGATATCTGAAGATTTGGCAGGTTTATTTATATTTATTTTTCCACATTATTGTTTAAACTCCATTTTATTTCTTGGTGCTGCCTCATAAAATTTACAAATAATTTTTTAAAAATATCATATGTTGTATTTTATGTTTCAAAAACAATAGAGGCTCTGGGTATTACATAACTCCAAAAAATTAAATGTAATTTTAATCAGGCAGCTAGAATAAGGATAGTTCCCTGAATGTAATTGATGATAGATTTAGGATTTTTTCATTTTTATTTTTAATTTCAATTATAATTATAAATTCATATTAGTTGTATAGATTAATGGTTTTTTTGACATGCCTGTAAATGCATATATCATGACTTGTTTGAAAATGCACCTTCTCTAATATCCTTCTCCTCCCTCCCTTTTCCTTACCTGTTAGTCCCTTTTCTACTTTTCAGTCATTGTTTTTTATGTTTCCACAAATGAGAGAAAACATGCAAAACTTATCTTTATATATCTGACTTTTTTTTACCTAACATGATGAAATTAATCAACAACAATTGATTAATCTAATCAATCACTAGACTAAAGATCTGAACAGATATTTCTAAAAAGACCAAATACACATGGCCAATAAATATATGAAAAGATGTTCAATGCCTTTAGCTACCAGGGAATTGCAAATCTAAGCTACTCTGAAATTCCCTCTTATGCCATTCAGAATGGCTATTATTAAAACAAATGCCAATTAAAAATATTGAGTAAAAGAAACCCTTCTAGACTACTGGTAAGAATGTAAATTAGTATAGCTACTATGGAAATTACTATAGAGACTTCTCAAAAAATTAAAAATGTAACTACAAAGTGATCCACATATACCACTTTTGGTATATTACCCAAAGAAATGAAGCCAGCATACCAAAGAAATACCCATATACATCACAGTAGTCATTATTGCCAAAATAAAGAACCAGCACAGGTATACATCAGCAGATGAATGAATAAAAAATATTGTCTATATGCACAATAAGGGGATATAGCTCAGTTGGTAGTGTGTTTGCCTCATATGCACAAGGCCCTGGGTTCAATCCCTAGCACCACAAAAATAAAATAAAAATATTTGCACAACAAAATATTATTCAATAATGAAGAGGAATGAAGTTGTACCATTTGCAGACAGATGGATGACACTTTGGGTTTAAAAGGCCTTATTAGTAATGAGAGATAGATGAAAAAAATGATATTTTCTATTTTGTTTCAATCACAACATTTGATTGCCGATTGTGGTGATGAGGAAAATGGTCATGTCCATAATGACCCCTTTCCAGGATGTGTGTATGTGGAGTGAGTATCTACTGATGGTCCACTTGTTAAGATAGGGAGCACTAGGGGAAGAACAAAATGTTGTGTAAGACAGAAACTTATGTCTAGTATTGATGTCTTACAGGAAAGATAAGGCCTAAAAAAAAAAAAAAAAAAAAAGGTAGCTGTCACATAAGAGATGATAAAAGCTTCCTTTTATCTTTGAAGAGTACCTACAAATGTTCTGTTTACTCCACGAAATTCTTAAACCACAGTATGAAAACTTAGAAAAAAAAATTTTAAAGAAGTATTCACCTTTATGTTATAACATAGTTATGTCTCATTAAAATTTTGATTTTTATGTACATGATTTTCATCTTTAAGTTCATTAAATTGATATATTGGACACTCCTGGGAATCACCAAACATTTAAACATTATTTTCTGTATCGGAAATATGCTGATGGCTCAAATCAAACTATAAATACTTCTTATTGACTTGATATGAGAATATACATATGCTTCAGAGAGAACCACTGCCATGTTACATATTTAACCAAACTACATATAATATATAATATATAATAAAAGTTGCAGAGAATTATAGTTAAGCAAGTAATCAATACTTGTACTGTATATAAAAAGCTTTATACTAAAGTTTGGTCCTAAAATGTCACACTTTGCTTTTTATAACTTCTTTTTAAGCAATGTACTTGTAATAAAAGTATTAATTTTATGTAATAATATAATTATTAGCAAAGAGTTGGTTAATTTCTTTTCATTTTCCTGTTAGTAAGCATTTGAGATATAAATATATATTTATACTTAATTGATATGGGTAGAATTACATTTGTATTCCTACCCATATCAATTAAGTATTACAAAATACTATGCATATACTACATCTTTATAAATAAGTTATTGCAGATGAAAATATTGGTCATACTATATTGTTCAGATTTTAATACAAAGAAGCAAACAGTGAGCAGAGTTTATTTAAAATGCCCACATAAAGGGAATCTAAAGACTGGAGATGTAGCATAGTAGTAGAGCACTAGTATGCGTTCAATCCCTAATGCCACCAAAAAACAAACCAAACTAACCAACCAACCAACCAAACAAACAAACAAACAAAAAACCAAAACAATAAAAACCTCATAGCTGCTGGACACGGTAGCCCAAGCTTGTCATTCCAGGGACTGTGGAGGCTGAGGCAGGAGGATTACAAGTTCAAGGCCAGCCTCAGCAAATTAGTGAAAAAATTTGCCTCAAAATACAGAAAAAGCTGGAAATGCAGCTCAGTGGTAGAGTACCTTCGAGTTCAGTCCCCAGTGCCACTAAATAAATAAATAGGAAAATAAAATAGAAAATGAAAGGAATCTAAGACAATGACATACATGACCAAATGAAGAACATAAAAGCATGGAAGCTAGTTATTTCAAGAAAGCAAACAGAATCTGAGGCAGAAAAATTTGGTCATAAAGTTCTTTCTCGTTGTGAAGCACAAAGAGCTTTGGGATTTGTTGGCAACAGGTAAGAAATGGAGAAATGGGAGGAGCTGCACTCCTTTAATGTGTCAGATCAAATTCTGCCAACTGGCCATAGGTTCTTAGTACAACTGATACACAAGAAAAAGAAATTAACATTGAACCTAGCATACATTATGCATTGCTAATAATATCTTCATTATTTTCTTTCAGGGTTGTACCAGGGAAGCTCCATTCTTTGGCCTTGGGTATATCGTATGTCATTTTAAGATTACTTGGTATGGACTTTAAGTAGCTATTTTTTATTACATCCAGTTGTTTGAGTTTTGATATGTATGTGTTTATATATGTATTTATAATTATAATTAAATAATTTAAAATGACACAAAACAAGTGAATAGGAGAGGTGTTTTGAAAAATTCAGGAGGCAATAAATGTAAAGACAGAATACCTAATGTAATGCCAGTTCTTTTATACAAAGCATGCACCCATTATTTTGGATCTGAGGAGTATCTGAGAAATTTGATATAAAGTATATTCATCATCTCATAAAAGTGGGTTGAGGAGCTCATACAAAATACTTGTATTAATTTTATATTTCTTGCACTTTAGGGAAGTCACTAAACTAGAGTAGTGCTTTTGAATATTTTCATCACCAAAGACACTGAATCTGTTCTTTTTACAGATTTGCTTATTTTCAAGAATAAATTGTTTTTTTCTGGAGGTAATGAACTCCTTTCTTCAGACTTTCTTAAATAACAAGATCTATATTTCAAACCACATTATGACTGTATTATAATTCCTGATTTAAGAAGTTGATTAAAAATATCATTGGAGAAAAGAAATAAGATTGGACTGGATTAAAGGCTGCAAAGTATGCAGTACAAAAATGTAGAAGTTGTATGTTGGGCTCTGATAGGGAGCAGAGAAATAATTTTAGTTCAATAGGTGTGATTCAAATTAGCATTTTAACATGGAAAAATTAGAACATGAGTTTTATGCTGGACAATGACCCAACAGATCAGAAAATATCTGTAACCAAAGAAATAGCACAGGGAACAGCAGTGCATAGGCCAGTTTGCTGCTGCAAAAAGAAGTCAGTGAGGCTGATGTATTTTTGAATTGGAAAGATTATATTGTAGATATAAACAAACAGAAGATAGATATTAGCTTATGTACATTTTAAGAACTCTGCTGGTATAAAGGCAAATAATTATGAGAAAAAATGTAGAGGAAAAGAAAAAGGAGGCTTTTGGTGAAGTTTAAGAATCATATTAAATTGGAAATCTGGGGTTTTGGTGGCTAAAGAAAGAAATCAGTATATCCAAGATATGTTTGGAATCTGTGTTACAACATTTATGATGTATTGGAAAAAGATGATGAGAAGTGAAAAATAATATGTGGTAGATGTAGATTTTTCACTTTGAGCAACTATAAAAAGACCGAGATGGGGAAACTGGCAGACATCAAGAGTCATGAGGCACCAACACCCTAATAATTTCTTAAGAAAGTTGATCAACCATTACCAATGTTTAATTCTGAGAACACAATTCTGGTGACTATGGGGAAACTGTGCATGTGACTGCTCATTCACTTTTTGATGAAAGGAAAAAGTGTTGCTGGTGAAGAGCTGTTGTCTCTGAATTGTGTAAAAGTTTCCCTTGGGCAGCACAGCTGTCCTTCAGGATCTCAGGCCATCTGACTCTGCGACTACCATAAGCTTATCAAGACGTTTTCATTTTCAGTTATTTTTCTAAGTATCTTGATAAAAGATATACACTGCCAACCCATTTTTCAGTCATTCAAAATTTTGCAATTACATATCTTTGAAGATATACTGATTTCACAAAAATCAGTACTTGGTATCTCTGTTCAAAATATTTTATTCTAAACTTTTCAAGTAAAAACCAACAAATATTTTGAGATGGCTTTGAAACAAAAGCATGTACAAAAATTCTAAAAAAGATTCCAATGTACAAATATATTTGTACATATAGGGATAAGAATATTTAAAAACTCATATTATTTCCAGTAGTTAACAATCTTAACCAGAAGTGATTCTTTGATGATTTAAGTTATATATTTAAAATGATGATGATGATAATGATGATGATAATGATGATGATGATGATGATGATGATGAGAGTGGTATGTGTGGAAATTCTAAAGGAAATTATTATGATCCTGATCAATGGTGTTTTATGGAGAATTTACAATCATTAAATATTTTACAGGAACAATTCCTGGACCAGTCATTTTTAAAATGGTAGGAGAAACTTCTTGTACCTTTCGGGATATTAATCATTGTGGACGCAAAGGACGTTGTTGGATCTATAACAGGACAAAAATGGCCTACCTACTGGTAGGAATATGTAAGTGGCATATATTATAGAAACTTAGAAAAATAAAATCGCTTTAAACACTTATGTTTGTTTATAGTAGAGTGATAATAAACCGCAAACTAATAGTTTGATAATTAAAGTAGGCTTATATGATTGTATAGAAAATATTTTGGAAACAAATACTATAGAATTTATATAAATATTTGATCAGTGTGTTAAATACACAATAGTTTCATGTTATTTTTATGGTTTGGATCTGGAATGTCCCCCTTAGTTTCAAGTGTTGAAGGCTTGGTCCCCAATGCAGTAATGTTAAGAATTTTGGGGAAGTAATTGGATCATGAGGGTTCTGAGCTCACCAGTGGGTTCATCATTTGATGGCATTAGTGGGAAGGGGTGGAAACTTCAGGAAGTGACCTAGATGAAGGAAGCGGTTCCTTGTAGGTGTGCCCTGGGGCAGTATATCTCGTTCCTGGCCTCTTCCTTCCAATCTCTCCGTTTCTAATCTCCATGAAGTGAAAAAGTGTATTGCTATACTCTTCTGCCATGATATTCTGCCTCATCATAGACACAGAAACAATGTAGCCAATAAACCATGGACTGAAATCCTGGAAACAGTGCACCAAAAAACCTGTTCCTCCTCAAAGTTGTTTTCTTTAGGTATTTGACACAGAAACAAAAGGATGATTAACACAGTTATTCCGGAAGAAAGGGTTATAATCAGTAAAAATTAAATTTAGGAAGTAATTCTGCCTGTGTAGGCATGAGCAACCACATTTCTTGACCTTGTGACCTTTTCCAGTTTCACTGTAAATGATTAAATAAATTTGAGCAAAAAAAAAATTATACCACGAAATATCATCAAGATGCTGTTATCACACTTAAATAACTTCACATTTTCTCTTTTGTTTATTAAGTAAGAATGTTTGGAACATAGCAAGCATTCAATATTTCTTGAATAAATAAGAAATATAGGGAACTGGGATGTTGTGTGGGTGGAAGCTATGGTCGTGGTTAGGAAAGTCTACATATGTCAGTATTTGGAAAATTCACTGTGTGATTCTGGATCTTAATTTAGTCATTTAATCATGATATTGTGCTACATAATTTCTAAAGTTTTAATAAATAATCAAAGTATGTATTAATACATAAATACTTTTATGTAATAAATATTTCAAAGTATTTAAATGTTTTGTGTTTTTACTGAATAGGACCAGTAATTCAAGGAGCCACATAATTACAGATTCTAATATTTAATACAAATAAATATATGTTTGATAGACAGTATAGAGCAATGCCTTGGAATTTAGAATTCAGTTATCCAGCAGTTGAACCCATACTGAATACTGGGTAAAACAAGAAAATTAAATTAAAAAGCCACTTGACATTTAATGTGTAGAAATTAACTTTGGTCAGAATTAATAAAACTAGGGATTATTCTTAAGTGTTCTTAAAACATTGCTGAGATTTTTAATTTTTATGATAGACATAATATAGTTAGCTCTTTTCAAACACAACACATAATTAAGAAAGTTAATGAACTCTAGAGAACCCACTATGGACCTATTAAAAAGAAGATACAAAATGTAAAGTACATAATTATAGTCAGATAGAAGGTACAAAGACAGGAAAATGCCAAAAGAATATGTACTGTGACAGTTTTGTGTAATCTTATTTATGGTTTTAAAATAGTTTGAATGTGTCTCCCAGAGGTTAAAGAGTTGGAGGTTGGTACCCAGTGTGGCAATGTGATGAGGGATAGAACTTTTGAGAAAAGTGAACAAGGAACCCCTTCCTTCATCTAGGTCACTTCCTGAAGTTTCTACCCCTTCCCACTAATGCCATCAAATGATGAACCCACTGATGAGCTCAGAACCCTCATGATCCAATTACTTCCCCAAAATTCTTAACATTACTGCATTGGGGACCAAGCCTTCAACACTTGAAACTAAGGGGTGGGGGTTGGGAGGGGTGCAATTAAACTATATCTAAACTGAAGCAGATCTGAACAGACATTTTTTAAAAGAAGATATAAAAATGGCAAATAGGTATATGAAAAAAATCATCAATATCACTAATCATCAGGGATATACAAATTAAAACCACAATGAGAAATTATATAATCTAAATTAGAATGACTATTATCAAAAGACTAAAGATAAGTGCTATTGAGGATATTGAGTAAAGGGAGATACTGAACACTGCTGGTAGAAATGTCAATTAGTATAGCTATTATGCAGCTTTCAAAAAATTAGCAATATAGAACTACCATAAGTCACAGCAGTTCCACCCCTGGGTGTATATACAAAGGAAATGAAATTAGAATGTTGAAGAAATATCTGTACTCACATGTTTATTCCAGCTCTATTCACAATAACCAAGACATGGAATCAAACCTAAGCTCCACCAACAGATGAATGGATATTAACAATGTGGTATGTGTATACCATGGAATACTATTTGCTCCTAAAAAGAAGGAAAACCTCCCTTATGACTATATGGATGAATCTGGAGGTATTATGTCTATAGAGCATGTTCTATTACTATAACAAAAATACTTGAGGCTTGGAATTTTATAAAGAAAAAAGATTTTGGATTCTGAAATTTCAAAAAGCACTGTGCAAGCTCCTGCAAGGGTTCCCTGGTCTGCATCAAATCATGACAGGGTAAGGGAGCATTATGAGAGGGAGAGGATTGCATGTCAAAGCAGGAAGTTGGAGAGCCATTAAGGGGTCACACTTATTCTTTGCAATAATTTGCTCATGAGAATTAATTGGTATCTCATGAGAACTCTCTCATTTCCTTGTAATAACAGTAACCCCTATGTCCTAAGGATCTCCTGCTATGACTTACCTCTGTCATTGCTACCTTGTGGACCAAGCTTCTAACACATGAACCCTGGGAGGACAAAACAGATTCAATACACAGCAAGTCACTGGAGGCCTCCAAGGCTTTTGCCCTTCTCCTACTTAAAAAAAAAAAAATCATGCCATCCCCATAGTTACAGTCTTAGCTCATTCTAGCATCTCTCAAAACTCCCAAGTCCACAGTCTCTTTTGAGATTTGTGACAACTCTTTCAGCTGTAGTCTTTATAAAATACAAATGGGAAAAATTATGTACTTCTAAAATACAATCATGAAATTGTATTTTAAATATTCCAACTCCAAAAGGAAGAAATAATGAAGCAGAGAGAGAAAAAAGAATCAGCCCTATGAAGACTGAGATGGAGGGGGGGTGGCAGACATTAAATCTTTAACATCCAAGTCTGGCATTCTTGGAGCACAGTGGTGAGGGCTGGGTTCCCAAGGCAGCCCTGCCCCATGCTTTGCTCTTTAATGGTGAATATGGATCACAAACGGTTTCTCTTTCAGTCTGGTATTGCAGGTTTTCCTGGTGGTGCTCTATGCTGCTGCTTACTCTGCCTTTCCTATGTCCCCTCTATGGTTTTGCTCTCATGGGTCCAGTAGGCATTACTCCATAGTGACCTTTCTGAATGGGCTCTTACACTATAGCAAATTTCTGAGTAGCTTCCCAGGTTTTCCTTTGCATCTTGGTCAAAGCTGCCATAATCTTATAACTTGCATTTCTGATACCTGCAAAACTATCAACATATAGATGAGGATGGTGGTGCACACCTGAAATCCTGCCAGCTTAGGAGGCTGAGGCAGGGGGACCACAGGTTCAAAGACAGCCTCAGCAATTTAGTGAGGCCCTGTCTCAAAAAAAAAAAAAAAAAGAAAGAAAGAAAGAAAGAAAAAAAAAGTATTTTAACAGAAGATTTTGATGTTGTCTGGCCTTACCTAATGTCCTCAGATAATTTGCCTGCTACAATTATTCTCTTCTTGGAAACACAACAAGCCTAATTTCTCAACTTATGCTCCAAAACTGTACCTACAGGCGAATGTTATACAGTTAATTACTGTTTTGTAATCTTAGTATTGTCACAACTATTTCAGAGATAACTCTCTCTTTACAATTGGTATTCCCAGGGGCTGGAGTTGTAGCACAGCGGTAGAGAGCTTGCCTAGCATATGTGAAGCACTGGGTTCGATCCTCAGCACCACATAAAAATAAATAATTATAAAGGTCCATCAGCAACTAAAAAACACAAATGGTATTTCTGGGCTGAGGTTGTGTCTCAGTGGTAAGAGTGCTTGCTTAGCATGTGTGAGGCACTGGGTTCGATTCCCAGTACTACATAAAATATACTAAATAATAATGCATATGAACTATATCAATTTAAAAAAATGGTATTCTTCCCTTAAAATACATGAAATATTATTGTCATTATGAGTGATACAGATTCATGAATGTTTCCTATTTTATCTTTTGATATTTCTATACCAGATAATTGGTATTGCTGCCATACAATAGTTAATACTTTAACTGACAGGGTTTTTGCATCCAAAATTTAATACTTTTATATAATATTATGAATAACTATTAACTTTCTGAAAATTTAAGACATAAAAATGAAGGACAAATACCTACAAAATCATTTCCATTTTCCATAGTATTTCTATTCATATTTGGAAAACTGTAAATGTTTCAAAGACTAAAGCTACATGAAATGATATAAACAGGTTCTAGTTCATATTGATAGTTAAGTTCTGAAAGTACAATTTATTTTGTTTTAATATTAACACATTCTAGTACTAATAATACACTTTGCATTTGGGGGAAGTACATGCATAAACCATCTGAAATGCTTTGGAAGCATATTTTTTATCTCCTTTAAGTAACTTATTATGAGTTTATAACATTAATTACATTCTACATTTGAAGAATTTATACCTTTAGAGATGAACTATACTTTTCTTTGGTAAATGACTTTATTTCCACAAGTATTTTGTTCTAAATAAACTCATAATATGATCCTTCATTTCTAAAATTTCAGGTTTTTTGTGCAAAGTATTCACTATCTGCTTAACTACTATTGGATTTTACTTTTTCAAGTATTTTAAAAAGGAAAATGCTGAAGTTGTCCAGCCTATACCTGTGAAATATATAAACCCTAAAAAAGCAGGAAAGGAATAACTTGTAACTGGATCTTCACTGTAAGTATTTAACATTTTAATCTATCAAAGTAATTTTATAGTAATAAAATTTTAATAATAATAGTTATATGCTTAAAAAATGTTTTATATAGTCACAAATTTTGTATTATACTTTACTAACAAATATAATAAGTCTGTGTTTCAAATTTTAGAAAATATATTATGAGATTCACATTTAATACTTTTAATAAAAAATTATATTTTGAAAGGGACGGTTGAAATGGAAATGGGAAAATATACATAGGCTAATTCTGACTGCTGTGATATTCTGTTAGTTACTGGACTTTGGCTATGTGTAGAATTGTAGGATTAACTGTATTTCTTATAGTCTATTTTTTTTACTTCACACATGGGTTAATAATGTTGATTTTCCAATATTTTTCTAAATAAAATTAGATTTTCCATTGCAGGTAACATAATGTAAATTTAAGCTAAAGTCACATTTATTTTCTAAAACTATATTTTAAGTCTTTTGAAAGTCAAAATTGTATTTATTGATGATTTGATATGGAGAGGTTTCTCCATAAAATTTCTGTGGTCAACTGACCAGTTTACAATATGTATTTTCTTGTTCCTTTTGTTTTGGTAGCCGTAAAATTCAACATGATCGTGTGGTAACTTCTACATTTTTACCTTCACTTGAGTTTTATTGATGAAGAATAACTGATAAGCTGAATTGACATTGTTTTTGTGCTTTTATACTTCATTTTATTATTAATAATATTCCATGTGAGAAAATATTAACATCTGAAGAAAATCTGTTAATCATTTATAGACTCTTTTGTCAGCTAATATGTGTTTCTGAAGAAATATTCTGTGATTCTTTTGTTATATATCATTTTAATTAAATTATACTTTTCAAATATTGGATAAATATATGATTGTTGTAAAACAAAAAATGTTTTCAACAATGTTACCTCATTCTCCTTGGAGAAGCTATAACTGACAAAAATTCTCCCTTGTTAGTTACATTAATCCATGACTGTGTGAAAGGATGCTTCTGTTTGTAGTCATATGTAAAGCAGAAACAAATGTAGAACAAGGAATATTCATATTTTGCTATTTGTTTTTTAATCAACATACATTTATGAAAATTTGTAGTCTAGTTTTTTATATTAAACTCTCCTTGACTTCCTGATTCATCTCTCTTTGAACTAGCAGGATTGCTAATATCTGAGGCTCAGCGTGTGAAAACAGGAGTTTCTCCTTTAAAGAATCTACACAATTTGCTGCTGTGCCCTATTCTCAGAAGAGAAAAATCACACATGATATTTATCTAGTTGGATAAAAGGATTTATGATGATTTGTATTTTCATAATAAAGTAACTTCTTGTGAAACATTTTTGATAATGTTTTTATCGATGTAAGATTTTTACATGTCAGCTTATAATACAGTTCTTATTAAGAAATTAAAGGAAAATAAGGGGAAATAGGAGGGTATCCCATGAAAACAGAAGGAAGATCAGTGTCAGTGAAGTAGAGAAAGGGAAGACAGGGGGAGGGAGGAGGGACAAGAAAAGGGATGAACTATGGAATAAAAAGCCAAATTATGCTATGTACACATATGAATATACCAAGTGAATTCCAACTTTTATTTATACTGATGAAGTACCAATTTTAAAAACTATAAATAAATTGAAGGAAGACCAATTGAGTGGAGAAGGGAACAGAGGGAGGGAGAAGGGGAGGGTGAGAGGAAGTACTGGGAACTGAAGTGGAACAAATTGTACTTCATGCCTGTATGATTATGTCACAGTGAGCCCCAATATTGTGTATAATACAGTAATCAAAACATAAAAATAAGCATAAGTAAAAATTAAGAAGTAAAGTTTTAAATTTTAAAATTATTTTCTTAATATTTTGCTCTCTGAAAATGTATACAAATAGGGCTGGGTATATAGCTCAGTTGGTAGAGTGCTTGCCTCGCATGCACAAGGCCCTGGGTTCAATCCTGAGTCACACACACACACACACACACACACACACACACAAATGTAATACAAATAGAAAATGAGATAAAGATAATAAGATTTAGGTCGACTTTGAAGGTACTTGTAATATGTCTGCTTCTTTGTGTATATGTGTAAGTACATGTTGTCAATATCTTTCTTTCTCTTCAGAAAACAAATGAAGCAAAGGTTTGTTTTAACAAAATTATAGTAAGTTTGGTAGTAGTGCTAAGACTAATACAAAACTGTGTTTCTGTATCAAAAACCATTGTATAGGGGCCAGGATTGTGACTCAGCTGTAGAGCACTCACCTAGCACATGTGAGACCCTGAGTTCGATCCTCAGCACCACATAAGAATGAAATAAAGGGGCTGGGGATGTGGCTCAAGCGGTAGCCTGCTCGCCTGGCATGCGTGCGGCCCGGGTTCGATCCTCAGCACCACATACCAACAAAGATGTTGTGTCCGCCGAGAACTAAAAAATAAATATTAAAAATTCTCTCTCTCTCTCTCTCCTTTCTCACTCTCTCTTAAAAAAAAAGAATGAAATAAAGATAATGTGTCCAACTACAACTAAAACATAATAAATATTTTTAAAAATTAACAAAAACATTATATATAAGGCATTGGTAAAGAGGAAAGTGATGTAAATATAACCCATCAGTTCCTTTGGTTAAAACGAACGTAAGTGCTTTTAAAATAGAACAAAGTTTCTCAGTATTGAAGAGGAGATGATCAGCAAAAGTTTTAAATGTGCAAAAAAATTACATCAAGTGAATTCCTTTGGAATCAGTTTGTAATAATTTAATTCATTTAAGAATTGTGCTTTTTGGCAATGTATCTAATGAAGCTACAAATGAAGATGTTTCATAGATGTTTTTAAATATCAGACTTTTTATTTTGATGAAACTGATGTCTTTTGGAAATTCATACCTTGGAAGATCACTATCTTTTTGATTATAAATTGACTACTTAGAGTTGTAAAGCTTTACAGGATCCACTGTGATGTTATAATTTATGAATACAATGTGGCATAATTAAATCATGCTACTTAAACATATGCTTCACCTCACCTACTTCTTAAAGGCAGATGACGACCTTAGCATTTAAATCTACAAAAGCCTGACTATGATATTGAATAAAAATGCTAGTAGACATTGAACTGTGTTAATTTTAATTAAAACAGTAATTATTTTTGTTAGGTTTCTGTTTGTAAAATTGCATATCTTTTTGAGTGATTTACATCAATAATATTTTCTCCATAAATTCACTTTTTTCTGATGCTTTATTTTGCCTAAAGAAATATTGTAAATTAATGCACAAAAATATTTTGGTGGAAATCCTTATGTTTTAAAATCAATGAGAATTTCTGTTTTCTAATGCACTTGGATCAAGTCTTAAATGTAGCTGCTATGAAAATGAAAATCCTAGTTTATCAGTCTTTTTCTTTCTTTCTATTTGTTTCTCTTTCTTTTGGTGGTGCTGGGGATTGAACCCATGGCCTTGTGCATGCTAGGCCTGGTCTCTACTACTGAGCTACATCCCCAGTCCCTCAGTAGTTTTGTTTTTTGTTTTTGTTTTTCCTGAATTCTTTCATATTTGTTTAAGATTTTTGTGCTTATAGCATTTAGTATTCGATCTTTTATATGTATCCTAGAACAATTCAATTTTGGGTTTACTAACAGTTTACTCTCCAGTTCATTGCACTGCTAAGAATTTACTCTTGATTACTTATTTTAGTATACAGTCATGGAGAAATAAAGACATGCTTTTAATTAGTTATCTTATTCCCAACTTCAATTTAAAAGCACTTCTTATAGACTCTTAAGCTAAGTGAAAAAAGCAATCCCCCTCCAAAAAAATAAAGGTGGAATGTTTTTTTCTGATATGTGGATGCTAACACACAATAAGGGTGAGGAGGTAGAATAAAAGTTCAGTGGATTAGACAAAGGGGAAGGAGAGAAAGAGAAGGTAGACGAGAATAGGAAAAACAGTGGAATGAATCTGACACAACTTTCCGATGTTCATATATGAATTCCACAGTGAAACTCTATATCATGTACAACCACAGACTGGGATCCTAATTAGAATAAGTTATACTCCATGTATGTACAAATATGTATAACTAAAAATACAAAATATAAAAGCACTCCTTATGTTTTTAATATTCTCTATTATAATCATTAATTTGCATATAGTACAATATTGGTTTTAATATCTTAAATCTAAGAATACTTATTGAGGGTCTGAAGATCTGCTGTTGAAAACTCTGATAATTATTGTGTAGATCTATTACTGATTATTGACAAGGAAGTTTCACTAAATAGTGCCTTGCATAAAAGGTTTTCTATATACCATTGATTATAGCACTTTTCTATAAAATACCAGTTTACCAGTTTAATAACCATGCTAACTTATAAATGTTTACCTATTATTTAAACTTGAAAGATCTAGTTAAGAAAACAATGGAGAATGTATCTCTGTTTTTATCGGAAAGCAAAGGCACATATCACACAAAATGTTGTATTTAAGTAAGCATTTGAAATTAAAACTTCTGTATTTCATATTTGTAATAGGGGTAAACTAACTTTTTTTTCTCTATAAACTATTCTATTCTTAAAACATAACAGTACCTAGTAGAACCTTGTGTTCTTTTTTCCTTTTTACTTGTGCTCAGATAACACTTTCCATCTTTTTTTAACACACAGAGAAATTACTTATATGAGAGTAAACTCACAGGAGGATATTACAATCTTCTTATTATGAAAACCTGTAGTCACAATATTTATCTGTTAATTGAAGTAACTATTAACACTGCTATTTGAAAGTAAAGTTTATGATGAAATAAATCTTAAATATTTATATTTATGTACTGAATTGCCTTTTAATTTCTAGTCACTGGTTCTCAGAGAAACAAGAAGAGTGAAAACAGAAAGTGTGTGATTTTCAATGTGTACATGTGTCTGTTTCAAAGGTAGAAGACAGAGATTTCTTGTCTTGCACAAAATTAAACTGGGAGATAGAGTAGTTGAAAAAATTAAAATGAGCCTTATATTTATTTATAATATGCCAATGAAAGGAAAAATACTAAAAATGTCTCTTTTATCAGAAGAGACAGTTGCTGATCAGAGCAGAGATACTATATAGTAGAACAGTTCTAGAAGTTGTGTGAAAGTTGTTCTAGAATTATTGACTCTATAATTATACTTAGGGCTTATGAAAGTGGAAAACTCTAAAGCATGTTCTATATAATAGTCTAGAACTTCTCAGAACATTCAATCCCCATGTACTTTCAATAATTATTTGTTCATTAATGCACCATCTTTTAGTTTCCTATCATTCTTTATGTCCATGTTAATTTCTCCTCTGGTTCATCTTCCCTAATCAAGCACTGTACTCAAATCCTTGACCTTGGTTCTGCTTTTAGAGAGATGCAACCTCAGAAAAGTGTGATAAAGTCTTGTACTTACATATTCTTTTGGAATGTCCAGTAGTTTTAATCTAAAGCAGATTCTTGGTTTTGGTTGTGGAGTGTTAATAAATCATAGTTTTAGGTGGTACTTATTTTTACTGTCTTAGATTTAAGTCTCCAAAATCCATTTTGAGTTGACTTTTTATAACAGGGATATAGTTTATTTCTCTAATGTGGACACTCAGTTTTCCTAACACCATTCATTTCCTTTCTTCAATGCTGTTCTTAGCACTTTTGTGGAAGATTAATTTGTCACAGATATGTGGATTTACTTTTGGTCGCTCTGATATGTTCGTTTTGTCTATGTGTCTGTTTTGTGCCAATACCATGCTATTTTGATTACTAGCGCACTTTAGTACTATATTTTTAGGTCAGATAGTATAATGCTTTCTGCTTTATTCTTTTTATTTAAGATGGCTTTGGCAATTTGGGGTCTTTTATGATTCTGTATGAATTTTGGGACTGCCTTTTCAGTTCTGTGAAGAATACTATGAAAAATGTCATTGACATTTTGAATGATAATATTGAACCTGTAGATCACTTTTGATAGTGTGCACATTTTTGCAATATTGATTCTTTTAATCCATGAAAATTGCATATCTTTCCATTTGTGTATGTGTGTTTAATTTGGTTAATCAATATTTTATAATTTTAATTGTAGAAATATTTCATATTCTTGGTTACTTTTATCCCTAAGTATTATTTTAGTTATTGTAATGTGACTGCTTTCTTATATCTTTTTCAGATAATTTGATATTAATGTATAGCAATGCTACTGATTTTTACATTTTCATTTTGCATTCTGAAACTTTGCTGAATTTATTACTTCTAATAGTTTTTTGGGGGGAGTGGGGTCTCTGGTGTCTTCTACATGTAAGATAATGTCATTTGCAAATAGTGAAAATTTCACTTCCCTTTTT